TGAGGTTTGTTAAATTGTCTGTTCCTCATTCTGAGCTGTTCTAGCTGCCCCGACCCCTTAGCCCTTATGCAGCCAATCAGGCAGAGAACAATCCAAGAGCTGCTGCAACTGGGGCCAGCCTATGAAACCTAATGCCCCCACCTACAGGAAATGCACAGAGACTTGATGTATAAAGTAAACAGGAGATGGGAGATCCTGACAGTGATACTAAGTACACACAGCAATTGGAGTATAAGAGCACTGATTAAAAAAAAAAAACCTCAAAAGAGGCTGATCATACAAAGCAAATAGCTTGGAAAAAGAAAGTGATGGTGCATGATGGGAACCACCTGCATAAGCCCACAAATTAAGTGTTAACATGTGCAGTCAGTCACCGTTACTCTATTCTCAACAGGTCCCAGGACCATGGTCACATTGCATAAGCCTGGTCCTTAACACACCCACCAGGTTCTGGAGAGGCAAAGCTGTATACTTCCTGTGGGCTGAGAAGCCATTATTAAGGTTACGGCTTTACACGGAGCCAGGTAATGGAAAGCCATTTATAAAATGCCAAGGCTGCTACAAGCCCCATCTATCCATCTTCTTCTAACTATTTATTCTGGTCAGGGTTGGGGGGGTATTCCAGGGGAGTATAATCTGGGATATACCCTAGGTGGGATGCCAGTTCTCTGCAGGGCACACAAACACTATATCTTTAGACAGTAGGCCCAGCCAACATGGGGGAACATGAAACCAGCACATATAGCGCAGAGACACAAGCTGATTCTGATGCTAGCTAAAGTGAAATATTCCTCCTCTAGTACCCTCACCAAAAACCACAAGTTCCATCATTAAAAAAGTCAAACAGAACATCCCATTACATCAACATTTCAAACTTCAAACTTCAAACTGGAAACTGCCAACAAAGTGAAGAGGATACTAAATGCCTACAAGACTCAGAGGTACCACAGCACTGCAGACGATATCCTCTTGTTTTTCACCGGAGATGTTTTCAGTGGCATCCATGTAGAGTCGGTGCAGAAACTCTAAGCTTTGTGAAAATACAATGGGAGGAAGCGATTGAAAAGTGTCCCAAAAAAACCCTACTGTGCTGTATACCAAGCAAGCCACCACTTCCAGGGACTCACAGAACGCACACGCCACCCAAGACCTGCTGAGCACACCATAGGCGTACAATGAAAAATGAAAGCAATTCAGCAGAAGAAACACATACAATCAGCACCAAATTATTCAGGGCTATGTGCCAAATGCTCAGCTGGCAAAGTCTGGAGGCATGTTGGGGTAGACAATTGAGCTGCTTCTAAAACAAATTACCAATATATTTTGAGAAATTCATATTGCTGTGCCTTGCTGAAAAGGAGAGCAGCCACACATTCAGCTAAACCACCCAACAGACCAAGTAGACATTTGCTGGAGCTCCAAACCGCACTTGGTTCCCTCCACAGCAGAATCTCTTTTGTAATCACTTCAGATTCAGTTTAAGTTGGAGAGAAGAGATATTAACTTCAGCAGTTGCTGCCTGGTCCTTGGTGATGATCTATGGCGGAGGATTTTGACAAAGAGCCACAACATATCATCACTATCTTAAGAACAGGCTGCACAAAATGTGGCTGGCGGCTTCCCTCTGCAGACGTGGTGCACCTCAAAAAGCCATCACATAAACATGATGGTTCAAGGTTTTCTAAAGGTAAACAGCAATTAGGTCAAGGCAGGAAATGGAACGTTGGATATGCTTTTGGTCTGTCAAGTCTCTGATAAATTGAATGCTGACATGAAGGCAGCTGGAACACAAGCTCCTTAGTGTTTGCCAGGGGTAAAACAAACACCTCTTATCAAACTCACCCCTTCATCATCTTGTGGTCGAGGTGGATGCCAGGTAACAGGTGCAAGTGTAACCAAAGACTTACACACAGACCAACTATTTGGAAACATCGGTAAAACTGAACCACTGAACTTCATGTAGCTCAGCTATAACTCTCCAGAGCAGAATCCACATGGAGGAGGCCCAAAAACTGCTGTCCTTCAAAACTGCTGATGTAAACAGCCTCATCTTTCACTTCAAGCTACAACAATGCAAGTCACTACTGCCAAAAGCCATATCCTGCAGAGGCAGAGATGAAAAGTGAAGTGCTTATGACTTGGAATGGGAAACACCCAGCTATTGAGAGAACACAGCATCTTAAAAGGTTTATTTTTAATGTTCCAGATATCAGATATTTGAGGTACAGTCCAGCAGTGGTTTTGGCACGGAGGCCCAATTTGTGACAGCACTCACCTTTTCTTACTCACTTTAGAGCTTGTTTGGTTTTACAGTACAACTCTTTGGATCACAGGTGAAATTACCTTCAGTGTAACATTACGGATACGTGACACACATGCTACTACAGAAACTCAAACCCGCAACTTTGGGATTTGCTTGAAGAACACCTGCTGCCAAGGACACGTTATTGAACACTAAAAAAATAAAAATAATAACATTTAGTGTACCGGGAGAGCTCATGTTTCAGAGAATGACTTGGCTCTGAAGACACGATTCAAGAGCCCAGCAAATTAAACAACCTCATATATCAATTTTAGAGGCAGATGAATCCTTCCTCTGAGTCATGAGCCTTGGACAGTGCTTAACGCCTGCCCGATAAACAAGCAGAACTCCGCAGTCGAACAAGGAACCAAAATAACGCCGGTCCTTTATCAAATGTCCACTTCCCTAATCCAGCGAAGTGTAAACTGGGCCAACTGAACATTGCCAGCCACAAACCTAATTAAGACATCATCACCAGAGACATATAAAATCCCTCACTGAACCTGGGCTGTACAGTTTAATGCACCAAGATTAAGCTCTAGTGTTTTCTGATAGTCAGCAGACATAGGAGAGAGGGGGCATAAGGTATTTTTCCTATCTTTGCTGAATGCAGTGCAACTCATTCTAAATAAATATTTTCTATGCTGTACAGGCAAGAGATATGTTAACCACATTGTACTGAATAAGAGCATCTGAATGAGCCAGATTACATGAGAGAAGTTTTGCTCATAGTCTTTTAAAAGGTACTCCTAAGAGTATAACTAGACAGGAGGACTGTACAAAACCAAACAAGACTCATTTGTCTTGCTCAGAATGTTATGCATGCTTTAAAAAAGCACTAATCTCTCCAAAAAATCAAATGTATTCATTCAGAGAAAATGAAAACAAGCCGTTTCACTATGAGACCAAAGTCTGACCTGACCCGCGGAAGTTCATGCGCTGTATTTGATGTTTCACATTTGCTTGTGATTTAACGTTATTGATATCTGTAAACGATATCTGTCAAATAGGGATTCGTTTGTCAGATGGAATGGATTTACAGCTGGCAGCCCTGGGCAGCAAACCCAGGCAGGGCTGTGGACCATCTGCCTGCTGGAATCTCTCGAGAACACGGGGTGTACACCATCAAAGTCATTGTTAACACTTCAGCCCACTTGCTTCTTCAATTAGCCACTGCATCAGGTTATGCTTTTTTGTTTAAGGCTTGAAGTCATAAAGCTTCATGTCGGAGGAAGGCCTACCTAACCCTATACAACCTTCCCAGCCTGGGGGGCTGGGGTGGGCAAAGGCAGACCGGCTAGCTCAGTCTAGTCGTTCCTATTTTTTCAGATGCAAATTGAATGTGCGAACATACATGCGGTTGGCAAGGGGAATCTTAACCATTAACTAACCCTCGGTCTTCTATGGCTCAGTATTGGGGTTGGGAACCCTACTATACAACTACCGAAGTATTCCGTATTTTCTGGCCCATCTAGTGCCAATGTGAATGTCCTCCAGAACATCCGAGTTACCCACGGGTGTGGAAGCTTAGCTCAGGTCTCCTCCCCAAGTGCTTGGAGGGGAGCACTACTCGGTTCATTCCATTCGCACTTGTGTTTGCCAGCAGTATTATTTACTGTAGGAAGAGGAGTCTGGGCTGGGGGTAGGCACTGACTGACGTGAGTCGGCTGGCTATTCTCACCAGACGGCTATCGTTACATGAGCCAATCCGGAGCCCTGCTTTGAGACCAACACATTTGTGAAGAGCCAATCAGGAGCACCGCACGGGGTGCACCAGCTCCATTCTCACGGGAATCCGTGAAGTTTGGCGGCAGAACATGGAATTAAAAACACACAAAACCACACGAAAAGCTGGATGCAAGCAATAAATACTGGGGGTGGGACATTTTCAAGAACATCTCTGAGAACAGCCCTTATTTCTTTAGTCTCTTCCATTACAGCATTAAAAAACAGGCTTCTTTGGAAATCCAGCAGCTCTGCGCTGGTGCATGCTGACGGTAATGAGTCACAAATGCTTCTCTTCTGAGAGATGGGCTAAAAGAAAGTGACTGGTTTGCTCAAATTTGAGATGATACAAGCTAAAGACAGCTGCTTGGACAACCAATCAGCTGTAAGGTGCTTTCCACTGCCTGAGCTGGTGAAGGTGGTGCCTGAGCTGGTGAAGGTGGCGCCTGAGCTGGTGAAGGTGGCCCTCTTACTTGCCATCTAGGTGGCACCACTGCCATGTTTTTGGCATGTCGCTGCACCTAAATGGCAACTGGAGGACCTGCGTGCTGTTGCTCTATTAATGTGATGATTATGTGAATATCAGCTTGGCATGTGCCCTGCCATGGGCTGGCATCCCATTCAGGGTACTCCTGCCTTGCATTCTATGTTGCCTAGGAAACCAGAATGTGTGTCTAGAAGATGGATGGGCTACAGCTTGTAGGAGAGCAATATATCCATTCAATTTGACAGTGGAAAGTAATGAACAGGGAAAAAAAATATGCATATCCATCCATCCATCTTGCCCTATCCAGGGGATTGGCACCCCACCCTGGGGTGCTCCCTGCCTTGTGCCCGTAGCTTCTGGGATAAATATTTATTTCTTTGTTAAATATGCATCTGTCTATGCATCATCAACAATTCAATGACCAGGAAAGACCTGATAAGGCCATTTTTTCTTGAACAGAGGATGAAAAAAACAATGATCTCTCACCATCCATAGTAGCTGCAGAAGGCTGCTGGACTGCTGCATAGGAGATGGGGCACGACGGGCTGCTGTGTGGCTGATGCCGCCGTGTCTGCAGTTCCAGAATGTTCCTCAGGCAGACCAGTGTGGGCTCCTATAAGATAGAATGGGAGGAGGGAGGTGTTTCATTAAATGCCAGTTGTTACCTCAGAAGAACTCTTGGGTGATTCCAGGACAAATCTTGCAGAATACAATGAGCAAAACAGTTTGCCATTTTGATGAATACACATAACCTTTTTCATTTTTAAGCCCTGATATAACTAAATAACTAAAAAGAAAAGTAAATCAATCTCATTGCAGCTTTACTACATGGTGCTAGTGCAGCAAAGACAACACAGGACCTTGGCTATAACGTAGTGTAGGATTTATAATATTCTAATGCATTATCACAATCTAGAAACTGGGTGAAAACGTTTATTTTTCCATGTCTTCCAAAAGTTTCCTTGGGAACGACTCCAAATCATTTACAGTGAATTTCACACCACATTCCAAGGAAGGGAGACTATTCCCTACTTAGAGTAAAAATCAAGCATCTGAGTTTACTCTGCGTGTTGGCTTGGAGTGCGATAACCGACGGGCTATCAAGCCACTATGTCTGTATCTGTGTGCTGAGGGGATGTTTGGCTGTGTGTCAGGCTGGATACAGTTCCAGCTTAGAAAAGACAAGAATGGAAAATGCTTCCACATTTTGGTGGAATCACAAGCAGGGACTCATGAGAGCACATAAATACACAAAGTGGAACACCCTTATTTCAAGGTGTTTGATAAAAGGTTTGCTATCAAAACAATGACGCAGAAGCAGCGGGAACAATGAAGAGGACTGCCAAAGGGTTCTTCTTCAACCTTAAACATAAAACTACCATACTAAACGCAAAGGATTACTCCAAACGTCATAAGAGACAATGAACAGAGCTCCTAAATAAGGACCTTATGGGTTGGGTCTTTCTAGGCTTCAACAATGAATGATCCTGACCACCCACCTGAAGCCTGGTCTTCAGAGAGCCCAAAGGAGGAGATAACTTTCTTACTAACTTCATCCTGGTTCTTCAGAGGGTCAAAGGCTGACATGCTCACAGCAGTGACAGGGACAGGATGCTTCGTGGTGGGTTCTGGGGCTGCGGTCTTACCCTCCCGCCTATCTGAAGAGCATAGACAGCATGAAGAGTCAACTTGCAGAGGCGTTAGGAATTACCACTGGAACAAATGTCACACACCACAACTATTCATATTAAAGCAAAAAACGCTTTTGATTAAAAAAGAGGCACAGCATGCAGAAACATTTGTGGCAATGATGATTATAGAGGGATGAAAAACAATATGAAAATTACGCTGAATATTTCGTAAAAACTACAACACTTCAACAAAGTGAGACTGGCCACAAGAATTTCCACCTGCTTCCTCTTCTGCACACACCAAATAACTCACCATATGACAACAAGCTATATGGATGTCAGTCCATGACGAAACATGTGGAATTCATCCCAGTACATCTACTAACGATTAAAATCATGTGGCGTGAAGATAACCTCAAGTTCTTATTAGAATTTGTTCTAAAATTTTCACCAGTACAAAGATTCTACATGTGCAGCAGTTTCTACAGGACCATAAACCACTACACACAAATCACCACCAATGTAAACACAAAAATGAAAGACTAAGGGCTGAATTGAAAAATGGGTTCTGTGTGATAGCTTTTATGGATTTTGTGTAACAAAAAGGTGCTTTTTCCACACGCATAACAGTGCTTGCATTTAAAAAGTCATGAGTACATTACTGCCAATGACAAAAAAGGAGCAAAAAAACAAAAATCATCACGGCACTCTGATGTATGAATCTGTTTAACAGAGACACAAAGAATGTCCATCCAGATGGATTTATAGAGCAGAGATTATATAAAGGCCAATGTGATCGGAACCCCTGGATTTTCACGATTTGGGAGGTAAAAGTGGGGAAAATGTATTAAATTCAGGTTATAGTGAGGGTGCCCTAATACTTTGCGCCAATACATTTGTATAGTCTCTCTTACACCATAAAGGAATTAGATTACAGGAATTTGTCAAAGTATCGAGTGAAAAAGACAATAGCCTCTCTGAAGCGCCAGTCCTGCTCAGGCCAGGCTTTGCACTCCAAATCGTAAAAGCAGCAGTGCTCACAGCCCCAGGATTCACGTTACTGCTGGCGCAGTCATCCAGCCACCTGGCCATTTTCAGAAAAAGACTGTGTGGCAGACCAGGCATTCATCTCCAAGCCCTGGTTAAAGAGGTCAAGGGCCAAAGTTCCCTCTCCTATAGATGTGACCCAAAGTAAAACCCAGAACTGACTTTCAAGCAGCAGCTTATGAGGAGAATCAGTTGGTTTCTGGTGCCTAGGTGCTGGAAGTAAATGCCTTCGCTACGGGTGGGGTTCCACATGCAGGAAGAGGCATGGCTGGACTGGCCGTCGAGCCTCCTGGCCGTTTTCCTGGTGGGTTGGTGAGTACGTGGACCATCAAAATTTATCTCCCAGGTCAGCAAAGGTACCATGCGGGACACCAAAGTCCAGGGGCGATTTTTATTCCCAGTCCAGCCCAGAGAGAAGGTATATTAGGAGGGGCACCTGAACCAGCTGGTCCAGTTCATTATGAACCAGCATTTGAATGCTTTATTGAAAGAACACCTAAATTACTGGATTAATTAATGGAATATGAAGAAAACTGAAGTGAACTCTAGACAAAAATGAAGAGAACTCCAGACAAGTGATTTTTTTTATCATGTCATGAAGATGGTGCATTAAAAATAAGGGAACTGTGAATTTTTAATCCACTTTAACGAGAAGGGAAAGCATTCCTATTACAGGGAGATCCTTACAGAGGTGCATCTACAAATGGAAACCAAGGAGGCTCACAACAAAATGGCCTACTCTGCATGCTGTCAAGAAGCTTTAAAATGAGGTGGCTTGCTGCTGAAGTGCGCGATAATCACAATAAGTACCACAATCGGGGGTGCTGAGGGGGGGGGGCGGCTCCACAGGGGGCTCCAGGCTGCCTAGCATGTGGTTCACTTTGTCCCTCAGCTGGAACACCTCATGGCGGAGGAACTGCACCTGGTTGGTCTCCAGGGGCCTGGGCTGTCCGTTCACTGCAGGACAAGGAGAGTCACGGTCAAGAAACGTTATGGAGAGAGAGGACAGAGGAGGAGAAAAAAGAAAGCAAGAAACGGCAGGAATCTGCAAAGCAACGGCAGAACGTCAGCGGGGGCATAAATATCACAGGTTAAATAACGTCCACCTGAAAGCCTGCTTTTAATTATCACGCACCCAACACTGAGAACACCCCAGGGATATTACTCATTGAAAGCGTAATCTATTAATCTAACAATAAATCGAATTCAGTGTTTTTAAAATGATAAGAAAAAGCAAACATCCTTCTTCTACTGACATTAGGTAGATTCACAAAATATGAAGACTGTCAGCCAAGATAAACTGGCCCAATCAAGTTATCCCTTCTGGTAAGGCAACAATAAGATTGCTGCTTCTGCAAGCAAACCAACCATGTGCTTTGCAGGGAGGAAGTCACAGCCTGGGGAGTAGTAGGAGAACCTCCATCAGAGACACCTGACAGATCAGACCTAGTCAGTCCCAGAATGCATTGCTCAACATTGTTTATTACCATCAAAACTCCAGTTCTGCTGTGAAGAGCTGGCACAGAGTTAAAAGGAAACTGCAAAAAGGGTCTATGAAGAGAGCCTATATAAAGTGTTCCAACTCAGCAGCAGCTGCCTACTTCTTATGCCCCATCTAATCATATTTCATTAGGGCTCCTAAAGCAAGCGCTCCCAGTTTTAACCAGCACCAGTAAGGCCAAAACTTCACCTAAATACTCAGGAATCCTACTCAGTAATAAGAGTGGTGGTGTGAAGAACAGATTCAGATAATTTATACCTCCCCATGTCATCGCACTTGCAAACTCTGCTAACGTCACATTGTGGAAAAATGACCTCTTAAAAAAAAATTACAGTGAAGAGGAAAACAGATTCTCACTGTTAATTTGCTTTTTTTTGGATGCTGCCCACGTCAAAGATTGATCTGTTTATGCAACTCTGCTTTCATGCATTCCTTCTAGTGTGCCAGTTTTGCTTTGGTTCAAGTTGACAGCACGCAACCAAATTCCTATGCATGTACACATTGCATATGCCTATCATTTAGAGCTTTCATCGCTAGGCAACCATGGACAGGATGGGAAGAGCAGGCCATGAATACGATTTGCATGGTATGGGGGCTTCCCCAATTCACCCAGGGGGAGGCTGGGACGACTGCTAAGCTTTGAGGTCAAGGAGTTTCCTTTCATTTTGCCAACTTTCTCAACTCCTGCCCACCTGTTCTGCCAGAAGAGGTTTGCTTCAAAAAAATAATCTCAACAATATCAGAGTGACAGAGATGAAGTATTGTTTTAAAAAAAGAAACCCTTGCATTAAAAAAACATTTGGTCCTCTATTTGGTAAAAGAGCCTTTTCAGTCCAGCTAGGCTTCTGGATCCACGTCAATGTTATCGTTAGGTGGTTCAAAACCAAACATTTGGAAAGATTTGGAAAACAGTACTCTAAGCCCTGGATCACAGTGCTCTGCTTTGCCCTGTAGCCCCAAGAGACGGGTCGGGGGAGTGGGTGTAGCTGTGCCCTGCTTAAGGAAAGGTCCCACCTCCAGTGGGACTAACTATTCTGTTCTGGTTAAGCAGGATTAATGAAGCAAGAACCTCAGTGCTGCAGCTGTGATGTCACGTGTAAATCACCATGACTGCATCTTCATAGGCATGACTTTTTTAGGAGTTTGGGGAGGGTGGGTAGGGAGGGAACTCCTCCCTGCAGGGCTGGCAGCAAAGGCATGGTTTGTCACCAGCAACCCCTGTGGTCTGGAAAACACAGAGCCCCATTCGAAGCACTTCACGCTACTACACTGCTAGCCTGTTTACATATACTCCATGTACCAGGACCAGGAAAATTGGATCACGACGGGAGTCGAATCAGAGTCCAGTGTCACAAGCCATTGCTAAAATCCATACAGGCCTGAAGGCCGGATCTTGAGCTGATGACAAGACCACCTAAAACCGGGGTTGGTCTGTATCGCTCCACCCTGGAAGGAATACTGCATCAGAGCCTTAAAATAAAAACAGAGCTGGGGAAGTTGTGTGATGGAGGAGAACTCAAACCTCTGCATACCTCATGAACCACTGACCTTTCACTTATTTATTTCTGATGTAAACAAACCAACAACCAAATGCATCATCACTACCTGCAGTTTGTTAATATTTGTACTTTACCGCTTGGCTCCCCAACAGGCATACACCCCCCCCCCCCCCCCCCCACCCCCTTAATCTGCTTCCTGGTCAGAATTTAAATAGAATCCAGGTGCAGAAAACTACATTGGAAAACTGGATTCAAAAACTCCATCTGGCCTTTCAGAAGCTAAAGTCCAGCAGGCAACTGTCTGACCTCAGAAGCTTCTGAACACTCGCTGCATTGTTCTGCCTCTGCCAGCATGTACTGTAGCTGCGTGTTTGATTACATGCAAGGGGTGCTGGTCTGCCGGATCACGGCAGATAAAAGGGAACGGAGCGAGACGCTGCCTGCATCTGCATCCCTTTCCATGCTACTAGACTGTAATTCGTCTCCCTCTCAGTATAGTTTATGAAAACAGGGTTAAGCAGGTTTCAAGACAGTATTGCTTTCCACATCAGTAGCTATTGCTGAAGAAATCCCAGCAAGAGGCAAGCTGAAAACGAAGAAGGACATTATAGATATACACAGCTGTAGCTCAAACCAAATACCATTCAAAAGAGCTGATAATGAATTGACAGGTGTTTCCCTCCATTGCAGATCTCCTATCATGACCAAGTCTATAAATGATTTTACAGTTTCACGACAAACGCTAGCAAGAAATAAATCGACTGCTTTGTGCTCTGCCTTGTGTGTTTCTTGGGTTGCTTACAGGAAAAGGACAGAACTATCAATCATTTCAATGAGTCACAGCAACACATAATAATGTTTTTAGACCATATAAAAAAGTGAAATAGCCACAGGAAACAGACTAGCGTCATCATCCGGAGGCATTAAGACCTGTAATATTTCAGCCGAGAGCCTAAGTGACGTCTTTACAAAACCACAATTCGTTGGAGGACACTCAGTTTCTGGCAGGCAGATGGGTCACCTACTCTCTCAAAATGCAAAAAGCTGCTGCATTTTCCATGCGACATGAGAAGGAACGCAGCAGGTAACAACGGCCAGAGGAGTAAGCGAAAAGAGCCAAGGGGACTCGAGTCGATGTAACAGCGTGAAAGAGCTGATTAATAGGTCTTGGATAATTTGCCCCACAAATGATAATTTAATTGAAGAGGCATGATCCTCGCTCTGGGGAAGCTCCCGGAGCTTGCAGTTCTAGAAATCGCCCTGTGCCAATTTTCCAGCTCAGACTGGGGAAGCAGGCTGTCCTGATGTTCCTCCTGAGGGTCCTGGCATTTCAGACAAAATCAGGGACTGGCAGGCAACACTTCAGATCTGTTTTTACCACAGAAATTATGCTCCCCACGGTGACAGTCACTACCAGAAATCGTTACATCATTGATTTATCCCACAAGAGCTAGAGTAAAACGTAATCCGTCAAAGGTGAGGCCCTTGGCTCACTCAAGGGAACCTGATAACCCATTTGAAGCAACCCAGAGCCAACAAAATGCACAAAAGCCACAACAACATGCAAGGAAAACCCAAACATGGATTTAATGACACAGACCATTGGATCACAGTGGTCTATGTAGGCACGTTTTGACATACCTAGGCTCAGGGAGTGAAACTCGAGCAGAGAAATTAAGGTTGGACTGATCCACATTTTTTCAGTTTCGGTCTGATACACTGCCGATACCGATATAGATTCTGATACAAGAACTTTTGACTTTAATGTCTTACTAAAAAAAAAAAATATATATATATATATATATTAAGGCTGTCAAAATTAACGGGTTAACACGGATTAATCCATCATCATGATTAATCTGATAAAAATTTTTAAAGCAATTAACCCATGTGCAGCGCAGAATGACTCGAAATCCCTGAAATGTCTTTGTCAACCCATTTCGGGCAGTTTTAGTGCATTCCATTTGCCCTGGGAACTTGTATTCCGAGTCGGATTCCGAGTTTTAAAGCCGGAAGTGACGACATGCGCGCTCCTGTTTCTCGGAGATCCGAGAAATGTCTCGGAGCAGCACAGAGGATCCTGAGTTCAGAATCCAAGATGGCTGCGCCTTTTATTAACAGAAGGGAAAGTTGTAGTCTTATACTGTTTAAGCACTACTTCTCATTTGTGGGCTTGTGGCTCATTAAATCGGTCGCACACACTATGCCGTCCAACTTATCTGTGGACGTGTTGCTACGGAGTTTTATATGTAAAGCACCGCGCGTAATGTGTTATCAACTGATATTGCTAACAATGGCAATTAACTGGGCTAGAATCAGATTTCATGATTAGTCGGATTATTTGTCGGATTTACGGTAGTTCGGGCTAACTGTAATTGAACGAAGATGAAGACCATTTAAACTGAGGTACCTTAAATCCGACAAGTTGTCCAGCTAACCAGAAAATCTTGCTTTTTGATATGGGCCCATGGTATAATGCACTTCTGTGGCAGATGGATTGCATCCGACTCGTATTCAAGATGTTCAATAAACATGTTAAGTGCATATATATTCCCTTTTTTCTTGAGTCTGTTTGCTCATGCAAAATAAAATAAATATAATTTAAAAATGAATTATATTTAATCGTGATTAATCGAAATTAATCCACAGCAACCCTGTGATTAATCTGATTAAAAATGTTAATCGTTTGACAGCACTAATATATATATAATAAATATTCATACTTTATTCATTCTGGATATTTTTAAAACTAGTAAGATCAATGAAAAAATGTATCCCAAAAAATCTTTAATCAGGCTACTAGAAACATACATAACGTGCTGTTCCACTTCATTTGTACATTTTGTTTTAAGGGTTTTTGAGGCATTTGCAGTTCAGTTTCGATATCTTCCAAGGGAATATACGCAAATGGCGAATGCTTAAAATTCCCCAGGTTTTTCCTCCCTCCCACTGGATGTCATACACAAGGGACTGATAGCAGTCCCTCGTGTATCACAAGCTGTAGTGAGAAAGAAAAACAGCCCAAGTGACTCGCACAATTGTGCGTTTTTCTTTTTGCACCTCTCAAAACTTTGTTTTCACATCCATTGCAAATCACTGTGCTACACGTTGTTGTTTAAAGCGTAAAATACTTCCGGATCATCAACTTCTGATGTTTTTCCCCATCTCCTGCTGCAAAGGGTATGCTCATGACATCACTGCACTCACACCCACTGAGTAACAAAACTGAGTTGCAGCGTTAGCATTCAGCTTGAAAGCAGCAAAATCACATCTAAAATGGGAAAGAGCTGTTGTGCGATTGATTGTACAAATAGATTTAACACGAAATAGGAGCTATCTTTTTACAGACTGCCAATAACTAAATAAGTAAGTGTCGGACATGGATCGGTCACATATGGCCGAAACCCGATCCATCTAATAGGTACAGATCGGTGCCCATACCCATCCCAATATCAGATTGGTGTGCCTCTTAATTTTTATTGAGTTCCTTTTTATGTTCACCCCAGTTTAGCAAAGACTGTCATACTGCATAACTACTTTACTGAAGCTACAGAGGTTAAGGATCATCAGAGTACCGCAGCAGAGCCTGTCCGAGAGCCAGGCTATAGCACAATGATGCTGCCCCAGATGCCATCAGGTCTTCGCCATCGCCATTCAAAGGCTAGTGCATATGATTTTCCATCAAAGACTCCTCTAAATATCTCAGGTCATGCAACTGACAACAGCCCATCCAATTCATATTCCTACTGACTGCACCCTCTTTTCCAGTCTCTGAACCAAGTGGTGCCATAAGGAGTGACAGCCAGGATTAATGCAACCTTCACTTGTGACAGGTGACAGCAGGTAACTCACTGCCACCTGACAGACTCTATATGAAGACAAAGACTGTAGACAGCTAAGGAATTCCCCCCTCACAGTGTGTTCCATAAACGGTCCCAGTCGCCACTCTGAAAGTGCACCTTCTAAAAAAATCAAAGGATATTTCACATTCAAATTCCACTGTGTCATAAACAAAGCAATAAATACTGTCCCTTAAAAAAAACCTGAACACAGAAACCCCAAATTGCAGTTTGTGGGCAGGACTGAATTAGCCAATCTCCCCCCTGCTTCCACCACAGGATACCCATTACATCATAGTGATTCCATGGACCGGGACAGCACTGAGACCACAGCCAATGATAGGGCTTCACAACTCCACACTCCCAACGTCGTTAAACAGAACAGAGACCATGGGAGACGGACAGGCAGTATGAATTGCTAACTGGCAGAAAGATCTGTCCTTTCCCCAAGCAGGGAGTATCCTGCAGGGAGGTAGGGCAACAGCACTCAGCTCATGCGGGCTTGAGATACAAACGCCTGTGCGAGTCCACTGCACAGCACAACCCAGGACGAAGAAGCTCAGTAAAGAGAAATTAGCAGTGCCCACAAGCACAGGGACAGCCAAACAAAGAATATGCAGGAAATGACATCGTCTGGCAGGCAGGGAGCTCAGGGACAGATACATCCACATCAAAGTGTGGGGAAGGGACTACAAATGCTGGAGTAATCTACTCCAGACAGGACTCCTACACAGCCTGTAGCCTGCATTCATACCCATGCATGAGTGAAGAATCCTGCATTCATAGTACTCTGAAAATCAAACCTGAAAACACTTAACCAATGGCCACAGCCTTCGCCGTTGGGACACATGTGTGTCTTATAATCACATTTGTGTCAAGATTATTCTATGCTGTACAACATGCTTTACAAATTTACACCTCACCCATCAGATTATAGCCGTTCCAATCTGTTACCCATCTACATCCACGTTTTAGGTCTCACCTGCCGAGCTCAGCAGGAAAGGGACAGGGTATAGAGATTTTACTTGTGTAGTTTGATTCTTTTTTGGTCAGAATGGAGGAGAAGAGCAAAGAAAGAAAAAAAATGCAGGGAAGTCATGCGCCATGGAAAGTCCGTGAGATCCAAATACATGTTCCACTTCAGTAAATCAAACCATTCTCTCAGGACCAATGTTGAAGATTGACAAACAGGTCAGGATTTTGGGAGGTCAACACAGTGCTGCCTCCGTCTTTCTCAATAACATCTTCCAGTCGCAGCCAGCTGTTGTCCTGGGCAACAGTATTGTGCTGGACCTCTGGCTTTCTCTGCCATTATGGCTGTTCTCAGAATGATTACTTTCCGTACGTTGTTTTACCTTGGAGGAATGAAGAGACACATAGGAGAGAGGAAAGCGGGAGGAATGGAGAGACACATCTGGACCAGTGGTTTTCCAGTGGACAAGTGCCAAGTTACCCAATCGCCCCTATAAGAGTCACGGTACCAAAGCCCCCAAGGGCTGAAGAGTAAAAGCTACAATGAAGGCATCTCCAGCACAAATAAAACATTAACACAGATGAATGCAAACACCTCATCCAACACACTGACATTAAGAACAGGATCCTGTTTCAAAGGTCCCAAAAACACAACGGAAGGTAATGTGTTCACAGGCAAAGACTGGTTCCCTTATTGCTTTGCTGGTACAACAGCTGTCCCAATATGAAGAAGATGATGAAGGACGTACAAGGCACCAGAGGAGAGACTGGTGATGAAACTGCATGGATCAACTCTGCATGCTGCTAATATTCTACATATGTTTGACAAATGAGGAATACAAATGAGATGAGACATAGCACGCAAAAGAATACCACACACCATATAACGCTTAATGCACACTGCAGGAGAGCCCCTGCACTCTAATGAGGTGTGATCATCAAATGCCATGATTGTATCCCATAGTGGGTTTGGCTAGCTTGCCTTCTACTGTCCGGATACACAGGCATGTTAAGGCAAGGATACTGAGCCACAATTTATTCTGTCTCTGTCAATTAAGCTGATAGTATCCTGTGCGGAAACTTTTAAACAAGTCTGCTCTGAGACTCCAGCAGGTTTTGCTCGCTGGCAACTGTGCTTTCATACCTGCACCCTGAGGACAGACCACTGAAGACCAAAGGAATGACTGATGGGGGAAAATGAGTGAAGAATCCAGTTCAAAATGCAAGCTGTGCCAACCTGAATGTGGCTGCACTGAGGGGGGAGTCAGCTGACCAGTTTTTTTTTAATCAATTCAATCCACAATTTACTTCTTTTAGAAATCAGTATCAAAACACCCCCTAGAAAACAGATCTTGATGCCCACCCCATAATATCTGAGTACCAGTTGCTGGCATCTTCCTAAAATAAGCAACGCACATGTTGCAAGCTATATTCATGTCTCACAAGACGTTACCCATCAGTCACTATGATGTGCGCTGCTCTTTTCTGTGTAAGCAAAATATCACTGGGCACAGAAGTCATGTTTGTAGAGCACAAGCACCCCCTGCTGGCAGACTGGTAAATGTATTTTCTTATGGGTCCTTCAAGTTAATATTTTGGGATGGAAAAAACTACTACTAAAGATGTGTAAGAACTTCACATTCAGCCAAAACGCCAACCAAAAAGTCAAAGGACCCAGTCCCTGGAAGTGCGGTCTGCCTCTCCTCCTCTTTGTGCTTCAAGATAAATTTATGATTTTATTTGTTCTATGTAGCCATTTTAGCCCACACTTATTTCACTAAAAATTGCCAGATAAAGGTTTAATGTAACGTATGGATATAATACCACTAGAAGTAGCTGCAAACAGTTTAATTATGTCTCTGGTGAAAAACAAAAACCTAAATTCAATACATCTGTCGAAGAGCCTCAATTTTGGACCACTTCTGATTTTTAAAAATCCAGTCTTATTCTAACAGCAAATAACTGAAAGACCCTTTAAATTATTTGTTTTAATCAGTTATATAACTTATTTAAAAACACAAGTTAAAGAGAACAGAAGCATTTCTAGACAAAACATTGTTCACATGTAACCCATCGTGCCCAAAAAATAACACTGGACAACAGTGCCAGCTAATTAGAAGATAAAATACACAGGTACACGCACATCTGGCATATCCACACACAGCTGTCTTACCAAAGACTGTGAGCTTGAGTATCCTGCTGCACTGGATAGCGAAGGAGAGATCGGAGCTGTCAAAAATGGTGATGAGGTCATCGTCTGTGGGTGTGGAGACCATAAGTAAACAAACCAAATCATGTTACTGGGAAATGATTATGATAAAATGAGCCCTATACTACAATTAACATCTGAGGATGTCATGAAGATTTAATCCAGTCTAGGCACTGCAGCTGTCACAGGAGCCCCGGAACACAAGAGGACAATATAGGAAATTATTCCTGTCTAGGAATCACATCAGATTTGATTTGATTCATTTCAATTCAATTTTATATTGCATTTTCACAGTATTAAAATGTCTCAAAGTGCTTTACATTATCCCTGCCCAAAATCCCCATACAGCGCAGCCAGATGCAACAGTGGCAAGGAGAGACTCCCTAGTAGGAAGAAACCTTGGGAGGACCCAGACTCAAAGAGGGAGCCCAACTTCCTAAGGCTGGCAAAGGAAGTCCAAAAGCCTCCGTTTTCTGGTATTATATTCAGACATAAGACTACATAGGTTGATGAGCTCCTGATGTCACGCCCGGCTCGTCCGATCCTCCTATGTGCCACGCCCCCCTTGTTACCTCGTGTTAATTCCCGATTGTATTCACCTGTTGCCTGTTATGTTCAGCTGCTCCTGTGTATTTAGTCTGCGTCTGAGTCAGTATTCCCCAGATCTGTCATTGATGTTTGTTCGCTGTCAACCCTGTTTGTGCCAATAAACCCCTATTACCGACTTCACGGCTTTGCTGCCTTCCTGCCCGCTGGGCGATCTTAACACCTGAGCTCAACTTCAGAAATTATACCCAAAATTCAATACATTACTGTTCAAAAAATAAATATTCTTGTGATGAAGAACCCTCAACGAGCAAAGAGAAACATATGTTTTTGTTAAAAAGCATACATATGTAGTCAAATACCAATTACCACTTAACTGGTACTAGGTTGTAGTGAGTTTGATGTCTTTCCTGGGAAGCACTGGACAAAAAATGCCCTGGATAAAATGGTTGTTTTGTTCAGGCGTATCCCTGAAAACCCGAACTGCTTTGGTTCTGATAGGAGATACATTTGCCTAATACTGTATATCTTTCATGTTTGTATGCTCCAACCTACAAGATCTTACAATCAGCAACATTATTATGAAACCTCATTTGTCCATATTAGTGCAAACCAGGGCTCTTCAAATCTGGCCCTCAATTCCAAACCCAGGCCTTGTTTTCACTTCTCTCAGGCAGTTAGTTTAATGATTACTGATTCTGATCGGCCACAAAGGCATTGCACCTGGCTCACAGGTAAAAGGAGGCTGGAAAATCAGCAGTGCTCAGCCCTAGAGGACTGTGATTTAAATAGCCCTAGTATAGACCAACCAAGCGGAACAACTTAAAAATCAAACACAAAAGATACTTCATATGAATGTGCATAAAACAATCCCTTGAACTTGTTTCAGTGTGAAATATTAATACCCCCCACCCCCCCTTTAGTGCAATGATTCGGGGACTATACTATGCCATCTACTTCTTTCAAGCAAACGGCCAAAGGTTCAGCCCTACAAAATCATTCAATAAGCTGGGGCCTGTATGTGGGGTTACTGGCTTATCGGGGTAACTTGTCGGACTTAAGGTACCATAGTTTAAATGGACTTCATATTTGTTCACTTACATTTTTCCCAGACTACCTTAAATGTAAATGTATTCGTCGACAAGTTACCCCGATAAGCCAGTAACCCCGCTTCATAGTACAGACCCCTGGTATACAGCCCAACCACTCCTCCTTCACTGGGTATCAGGCATACCTTCATCTTTGTACTTGATTGTGACCTCATCGGAACTCTGCAGCTTCCCACGGAAAACCCGCTGCATCATGAGCAGCAGCTCGTCGTATGTGATGTCCTCGTTGTGGATGGGGATGCGCCGGATGTCATCGCCCAGCTGCGCCTTGATGATCAGCTTCCCGCTGAGGTCCAGCTGTCCGTTCATTGTGCCCTACCGCTTATAGCTGCTTGCACAGCTGCCTGGCAACGGAGGGGAAGAATGTGAATGTACACAAGCACGGTAACATAATAATACATTACCATGATTCTGAGCTAAGAAAGTTAGCCATATAGATTTCGACATTAACCACTTTCCAAAGGAGACAATGGAATAATAAAAAAAAAATTATCTGAAACGTACACCCATCACCAACAAATAAAATAAATTTTTTTGTTCAAATCACACCCCCAGACCCTGACAATGGAAGATGGATCTATGGAGACATACAGGATACCAAGACTTTATAGGGCCAACTACTCAAATGATTCACTACAGAGTATCACTACCAGAGTATGTATGTAATGAGCCAATTTTTAAGGCACACTCAGGTACAACAACCAGTAATGTCATCCAAGTTGCCAATTTTAACTTTATACTTTAAAATTAGTCAACCACTCAGAGGAATTGAAAATTCTGTGCTTCACTTTAAACCTGGTAAAATAGTAATCCCTCATTACACAAGCTGAACCCTATATCCCAAGGTGAAAACTCAGGGGAAATTAAATTCTCATTACTTGCCTTGTTATAACTTTGGATTACTTGATGAAGCAACACCGCACCACTTCAAATATCATACAGAACAGTACTTACGCATGGAAAATTAAATTACTCATCAATTATCAAAAATGCTTAAAATTAGGCACTGAAACATGAGAAACTAAGAAAAGTCGAAAACAAATTTTGCTTAGTTTAGCAGATACGCATTTGAAATTCCCTACTACAGGCACATGAAGAGGACAGTAAGGAAGTTCAGCTCCTGCTAAGAAAACATTCATAAACACTAAATTATTGTTTGCAGAGCTGTTAAGTGGTGATTTCTTTGGTGACACTTGTTATGATAGATCAATTTAATCATAATAAGCAAAGAAAATGACTGATATTCATGTTTTCAGCAGATACAAATTCTTCCACATTCGGGGACAAGTGATGATTTGAGGCAAAATGAGGTGTCTATCTCAAAAGAGAAACAGATTATGTTTAAAAGATGTTCTTATATTGTAGTTATTGTTTGTTTCACACACTAAGCAAGTATAATAAGCAGCACAATGTTTTTGTATCAAAAGATATTTCTTCAGGTTCTTTGTGTCCTCTTAGGCCTCATCTAGTTTCTCCTCTGAAAGATTAACGTCAGCTCCTCACCAAAGGAAGGTAATACTAAGCCCAAGAGAGGCTTCTCTGTCACAGCTTAATCACCTTCAATTTCTTACGGGCATTTTTGTAAAACATTTGGTCCACTGAGCGCATTCCTAGGTATCTTTTCCCCATCAACAACACCAATAATTTCATCTATTTTTGTATATAGCTCTACCATGACTGTTTGATAGGAGTCAACATCACTAGAAAATGTATTCGTTATCAATGCATTACATTTCTCTTTTTTCCCAGCTATTTCCTATATTATTGGCCTTCTCATATTTTTAATTACGAATGATTATTTTCAGGAGCCCCAAAGATTTTTTTTTTTTTTTAAAGTTTCAAAAACATATGACCTCACACTATTTTCTCTAAGTTGCGACCTTCCACGGGGGAATATCTGTTTAGTTTTAGAAAGTAGAAGGATTCGTATGTTTCATAACTGTAAATTAATACAGCGATTACTCATACAATGAGGGTTTATGAGCTTTAAATAACTCACATGCCAAACAGAAGAGAAGCAACGCTTCAGTTTGATGGCCACCTGCGAACTAAACCGAATTCAGAAATTATTATTTCCACCAAATTACACCAGAGCCATCGATGTACAGCACATGATACCTAAATAACAGACTTCCCGGAGAACCATATAAAGTAACAACCCAAAGTCCTGGCGGAACAGGAGGTAACTTAGGTTAGTGCATGAGTCCAGGAGGGAGGAGTGTAGCTCTGAAAGATGAGATGTCTCTTCAGCCATACGCAGGACATACAATCCCGGCTTCCTCAAAGGTTACAGTAATTCAGCTTTCCACTACACTACATCCCTAAAGAAAAATAAGAAGAAGCCATCTCACCTGAATTAAGCGTGTCAATCAAGCGCCAACTAAAACCGTATTCCTACAAAAAAAAAATCCTGGTTGGTGTCGAATATTAATGCATCTCACCTCAAAACTATATTCTTACAACTTTTCTTTATCCATAATTTAAACTGCTACATACTGTATACAGCTGAAGTAGTTGCAACAAGAACAACAAGTCCATAGCAGATATTTAATTCCGTTATCGGTGCTTGTGACTGTACAACCAGCCATCCATGACAATTAGGATGAACGACCAACTTCGTAAAAAAGCAGCAGATAATCACGTAGTCACTAGTAAACCCAGTACGCCAGGGCTATTCTATACGCACTGAAAGTGAGGAATAACACGCGGTCCCCCCGCCTTATCTTAGCCGGCTGTCGCTCCGCGTCGCCGTCCGGCCACAATGATGGATTCTTTCCAGCACTTTCCGTGTCACGCACTCGCCGCGTCGCGCGATCAGCGCCGGGTCTCCGCTCTGGTTCCCACCCGGGCTCGCGCACACGGCCGGATTCAGCACGAGCCGGCCGCCTTTCACCAGGCCAGCTCACTCGATTATTAACCTGCCGGTTAGCTTTGATGCGGATGCAGCGTGCAAACATCCGGAGACTGACTCCGGATCGGCTGTGTCGTCGGCCCCGCAAGGGTCGTTACCGGGCCTGAAGAACACAAACCGGCTCCGCGTCAGTTGTTACTGCAGGAGCGCCTATCGCAGGAAGTCCATCGGACGGGACGGGACATACTTTGTCCTGCGCAGCCGCAGCGACGGGATGTTCCAGCGTGTGTTTGGGGTTCTGTGAAACTTACTGTACATAGTAATACTTTTTATTGTTGAATCGGGATATAAATTGCGGTCTTCCTGAGCCGGATATATGAGCGGGATACCAAAACAAAATAAATAATATATTATAAAGCTAAACTAAGCTAAAATAAATCATAACGAACGCATACACAAATACAGCCACACGCAAATCGTTAATTTCTCTCGGAGTGTGTCCAGTACCCAGACCCCACGATAAACAATACGTAAGCAAGGATATGACCAGGTTTAAAACACAAAGCCCTTACCAATTCCTTTTATAAGGTATAAAAGTTCTTTTTTACAAGTTACAGAAACTACAACTAAACAATAAAACTAATATTCTCATCGTCATCAACATGATCATTATTATTATTAGGGTACTCTCTGGAGGCCACTTGATGTCCCTAAATTGCTCTTTGTGTGTGTGTGTGTGTGTGTGTGTGTCTATGAAGGAGTAACATCCTACCCATGGTGTTTCCCTGAAATGTGCCTTAGGCTGCCAGTGAAGAACCGTCCTTCAGTTAGACAGAGATCAAATTAAAATGCAAAAAACAAACTGGATTTATTTTCTGGCATTACTTTACAGCTTGTTCATAGGTGATACAGGACAAGAACTTGTCAACATGCAGTAGTCATAAATCAGCACCAGGCAAATGGACAGCAACAAGCAGCTCCTTGCGGTCAGTTAAGGAACCACATATGAGGAAGGTGAACAATATGCAGCTGCTCACAGCCACTAATTCTCCACCCATGGGCCGGGATTGACTTCCCCAGAACATTTCAAAGCCTCTGCTGAGGAAAAGGTCAGGAGAATACCCTGGGTGAGCAAGCTGCTTATGCTTTCACTCCCAGTTTGAGCAGAGAGCCCAGAGGATGACTGTACTGAGGGATTTCCATCTCCCAAACCCCACACTGACCCCTAGCTGTTTGGGGGAAGAACTGCCTGCCCCTGAATTGGTGATCATAGCCCCTCATCATCCCTCTCCTGTGTATAGATTTCAAGTGTCCCTCTCCCCCTGTCATGTCTACATGTCTTCTGTGCCTCTTTGGCTGTCATAAGATGAATACAATATAGAATATACAATATAGGTAAATATAAACTGACTATGACTGTCAGATAAGTTAGTCGACAACAGAATGTAAATAACAGTAGTGCGACAACTCAGTGCCACATCAAGTGAGAACAGCAACAACAATGATGTGCAAAAAATAGAAGTGCAACACAGGATAGAGTAGTTACTGGATAAGGAAGTTCTCACGAATATAATTTGTGTTCTCCTCCCACAGAATACCACTGGACGGTTAAAGACGGAAAAGGGGTGCATGCGATATAATGGTGATGCCACACATCAGTCAAGGGGGAGGACAAGCAGGCGCACGCATTACACATTTGGGAGTGTCACTTGGAATATAACGTACTTCTAATAAATACGGCGGAATCTAAGGTGTAATATACCTCATGACCAGCTATGTGCGGAGTTCAATCTCAAGACTGCCCTGCATTTGGGTGCCTGAGTATGATCTACGTAAAACCTTTCCCTCTCATTGCCTCCTTGCTGCCTATGAGAGATTTCTCACCAGCCTCTGATATGACCTTGTCCTTTTCCCTGGTTGCCAAGTTTAACCCCAGCTATACAGATACTGCAATTTCATCTTGTGGCAGAATGCTTCCTGCCTCTGTCAGCTTTCTTTCAGGGCACACTATTTTACTTCTTTCATTTCAACAAATTTATTACACTTAAATCGGATAGCTCCAGCTGAACTTCAGTATTTTGATTTTTCTTTGACCTCAAGATCAGAAGCACCGTTTTCCTCCTGCAGTCCAAAAACATGCTGTTAGAGTAATTGGCTGCTCTAAAATACTTATTGAATAGGCCTGTGTGCAAGAGTGTTTGAATGCAAGTGCCCATTGATTGACTGGCATCCATCTCCTGGGTTTACTACAAAATTTAACCAAGAATAAATGGATTAGAAATTGTACAAAATTGTAAAATAAAAAGAATGATCTTTGATCATTGAAAATGGGAACTCTGCCCCTAGGTCCATCAGTTCCCTTTATCTTGCAGAAGGTGAAATTCCATCTGAAAATGAGCCCTGTGACCCATCATAGAAAGGTATGAAACTCCACCCAACAAAACAACTTCCTGTACCAGCTAATTAGAGGTCACTAGAAGAAAGGATGTTAAAATTTGCAGTCTAGTAAGGTAATGAAGTAAATATCTCTGTCATTATGCTGAAGCATGGAGGTTTAATTAAACAGAGTGTAGATTTTCCCAGAGAAATAAATGAACGTGCGTCAGTTGAAATGGCATTTAAGTACTGCGTGCGCAAGGTAAATATGAGGAATGATGAGTTCAAAGAGGTCAGGAAACCCAAAGGGCCATTCTTCAGCTTGCCCAGTGTAGCCTGCTGTTCAGTATGTAGCAAAAACATTTTCCTAACCTTGCTGATCGAAAAGAAATTCAGAATCATTTTGCTGAAAACTAGAATAAAATGTAGTGTAAAAACAGCACCAATGAACCATGCAGAAGGTATTTCTTAGGATATGTAATCTTAGCAGGACACAGGAGACAGATCTTAGCTGTAGCTCCCATCCAAGATCTAGTACTGTTAGGAGAGAAGTATCAGGTCAGGGAGGTACTGGGATTCTAATTTTACTAGGAACTTATTATAGATCTCCTCAAGGGAGCATAGGAACCTCAAGACTGTATTAATCAGTTGGTGTAGTATGACAAAGCAGATACGGGGTTCAAGTAACACTACCTAGGTCTTCTGAACCCAGAGCTTCCAAACATCAACAAGGTATCTACATTCTGTGCAGAACTATTAGGTAAGTACTATTCCTGGAAAAAGTCAATTCAGAAGTTTTCTTTTGCTCCAAATAAATATATTTAGAGGGAAAATGTCACATTAGCCGATCACAAACAAAAACGAAAGAAAAAGACCTGATTATCAGTGTGCACAATTATTAGGCAATCAGAAATTAAGTGGATGTTTTTTCTCTCTTCACCATCAATAGAATCAACACAATGATCATCATGAGCCTGTTGTCCATTGAACCAGTTAAGTTTTTGATTTGATCAGGTCCTATATTAGCTGATGCAGCTAGGTTCACCTCCTAGACATTGGTCTGGGATATGTACTGCTTGCCACCTACAGTAGGTAAATTTCATATTTTAGTAAAGCCAAGTAGTTCCCAATGGAGGTTAAGTCAAGTGATGAGGGTGCCAGGTCATAATTCAATGATCTTTCACGTGTTGTTGTCACCTTTCTTAGACAATCTACGGAATACATTGATGCATGGGAATGGGCATTATCCTGCATGAATATCATAACCTTTTAGCGGCTGACTTCTTGTTTGTACCATTGTTTGAATAAGGTATCTTCTAGAAACTGACAGTCAGAAAGTTCTAAGAAGTTCGTCACTGAAAATTGCAGCCCACACCATCACTCCTTCACCACCTTGTTGGCACTTGAGGAAGATGTCCATCTACTGGCCCATCCATCTGCTACATCAAGAGTCCTCCCATGTCATCAGTCCACAAAACCTTTGTAGCATCGTTCTTGAGATGTGTCCGTGTCCATTGTTATGTTTTAGCTTGTGTGTCTTATTGAATTGAGGTCATGTTTCAGCCTTTGTGACCTTAGCACATGTACACTGCACCTAGTACTTCCAGAAATTCCATTTAGACTTGAAAATGGTGTTTTTTTGAGTTTCTGGAAGTCTCCCCTTTAATTGGACATATATCTTAGGCACTTAATTTGTGTCTTCTTCACTCTACATGCTTCTTCCATCTTTTTTGGCTGTTGGTCACAAAACCCTCAAATGCACAATGATCATGTTTTACAATTTGGGAATTTTGATTACTTTACATCTATCTGACTGGAACTTCATTACTTTGTATTTTTTCTGCTCTTTGTAAGGTCCTATTTTGGCCAATTTTAATAGTAATACTTTGCTTAATAATTCTGCTCAGAATGAGCATGTTCTATTTTTAAAAAGCCATTTGTTAACTGGAGATTAATCTGGACTGAAACTATTGGTCAGAAGGTACAAGCAAAATACACACTTGCCTAATAATCCTGCGCACAGTGTACATGTCAGTACTCCTAATTAAAAAAAAAAAGTTTATATATAGTAAAGTGTAATTTCATCTGAACTGGATCCTGTTGCTGCTCTTATGTCAGAAATGTCTGGGAGTTCTGGAGCAGGTGTCCATGGCTGGTGTCCATGGCTCTGAAATTGGTTTTCTTAGTCTTTTGATCTTTTGAAACAGGTGGGATATTGCGTGCTTCCTTTCCTGTGTTAAAAAGATAGGACGACTTTGATAAAGTGACTGTAATTCTGCTAAAAGAACCCTAATTCACTTGCGTGGTGAATGACCTGCTTCCCATCTTCGGAGTAGAAGAATAATTATGAAAAGTAGGGCTGTGTTTGTGTGTAAGTGAGACCTCTTCATAGCAGGAGGTATGCAGACACACAACACAGGATGGGCTTTCTGTACACAACAAAGGGGTTCAGGTGCATTCTTGGAATGGGACTTAAGTCGTGGGATTCATTAAGCCAGAATTACCAGAGGCTACTCAGCAAATGTTTACATAAATTGCAAAAAGTCTAGTCCTTTGGGGTTGGTCAAGACTATATGTTGGTTTATTAACCCAGGTTTGCCAAAATGGTGAAGTGGCACTTCCTCTCATGATTAGAGGGTGACACTGGTTTTTTCCCTCCTCTGTCTACTGTGATTTCCTCTCCTTTTCCAAAGATCTTTAGGAGAGATTCCATCTCAGTGTGTGAGTGTGTGCCTCACAGTGGACTGGCGTGCCATGTAGGTTGTATTCTGCCCCTGCTGCGTGGGATAAGTGCCATGCTTACCATGACGCTGTACTCAATAAGGCCTTATGCAGGACGTGGATCTAATGCCAAAAATCACTTCACTGATGTGTCTAAAAACAACTGCTGACTTTTTCCAATATCAGCCAAAACTCGTTCTGTAAACAACCCCTCGAATGAAGACACATATCTCTGTAGCAGTTGCATATATCAGGCGATTCGATATATGCACCCATTTTCTGTGACCACTTATCCTATTCAGGGTCATGAGCTTATCATAGACACTACAGGCAAAAGGAAGGAGAAAACCCAGGATGGAGCACCAACTCATCACAGGGTGCAGTCACACACCATTCACTTACATACACACACCTACTGGCAACTGGGTAACTCCAATTAACCTCAACTGGAGCACCTGGAGGAAGCCCCACGACGACACAGAGAGAACAGGCAAACTCCACGCATATAGAGCCATAGCAGAGACTCAAACCCGGGTCCCAGAGGTGTAAGGTGACCACAGCACCACCCCTAGATGCATTCAGCTACATTTAAATCTAGTAATTGCGATGGTAAATAAACAGCGCATCTTTATGGTGAGTGTAATTGACTGATGGGCCAGCATCATGTCAAGAAGAGTCCCTGCTTGGTCTGGAATAATCTCCAGATTCCCCTTGTATTGAATAAGCAGATTGATATAAATAACAAGACCTTTTTAAAATTAAAAACAATAAAAACATTTTTAGAATGGTCGTAAATATATTTAAATGTTTCATTGATGCTAGTCTCACAATGATATTAAATATTTTTAATTATAAAATAAGTCATTTAACAGGTGGACAAAGAGGAACTTCAGCCTGAGGCTCTGTCTGTTAGCAGTGGTGGTCTAACTTTCCCTGGTCTCCTACTTTGTTTTCCTTCCACTGCCTACAGGAGAACCTTCAGCACATTTCCCTTTGCAGCTGACATCAAGACCTTACCTGCTTCCCAATCAATCCTTGCTTGCTCTTCCAGTACCACTGCATTCAGCGTTGTCTCAAACAATCTCCATATTAATATCATTCTGCTGACATCCTATTAATTAAGGCTTATTAATTAAAAATCACACATTCGGCTCTGGCCGGTAGCCTGTGAAACACAGTGTTTAATTTCTGTAACCCTAAAGCTATAGACTGGTACATCTATCTAAATAGTTAAATAGTTTGCACTTATGGCAAACCTCATGTCTCAGATTCACCTTGGCATATTTTTGGACTGTGGGAAGACACTGGAGAAGATCCCACGACTACTCAGAGGGAACATGCAAACTACATAGAACCAGGATGGAGACTTGAACCTTAGTCTCTAGAGGTGAGTTCACTGTGCAGTCCCTCATCCATCCATTTTCTTCCACTTATCCCGGGTCGGGTCACAGGGGAAGCTGTCCAAGCAGGGATGCCCGGACCTCCCTCGCCCCAGCCACCTCCTCCAGCGAGGAGACGCAGAGGGAAGACTTCGCAGAGAGCTCATGTTCAGACAATCACGGCTTGGTGATTAAGGGATGCAAAGCAGCACAAACCACAAAACTGGGATATACTTTTATGTCATTTGGTTCTCATCCCAGATAGATTATTAATTTATTCCTTTATTAAATTTACACAGTAAAACTTGACCATGTCTAGACATCCCAAACCCAAATCAAGGGTAAACTTTTGACGGACTACATATATGCAACATAATGCCCTGAACTACATGTAACTCATACACCAGGCCTGCAGCCAGAAATAAGCATCATGGGGGAGTTCAGCAACCCTACCCCTC